TCAAGCACTAATATATTCTACTCCTTCCTCTGATTATAATGTTGCTTACAATTTTTAAATCCATTGAGAATTGAGAGAGAAATATCAAATTGAAGGTGCTCTCTATTTTATGGGTTTTTGATTCATATCTCTCTCCATAGTTTATATAAATTTGGCGCGATGGTTGTGTTAGAATCGTCTTGAAGAGACGGGTTCAATGATGCTAGCCTGGGATCCTAATTTTTCCATTTGAAGGATATCACAAAATCTCCATTGCAGGGTGTCTGGAGGTTGAAGACGATGACATGTCTCGTCTCAGCCAATGATAGCGTGCCAAACATTTTAATTTTATTGGTTGCTCTTTTTCTGATCACATGTGTGTTTCACTAAGGTCCATATCAAGCACAGCGTGTCTGGTCCATTGGATTAGCTTACTAACGCGTTTTGACTATGATCTGATGGTCCATATCTTTTTGGTTTTATTTTATTTTCTGATTTTATGTTTTTATTGATCAAATTTTCAAAAATTCATAACTCTTTTATTTTTTATCCAAAAATTATGAAAGAATTCACAAAAATACTTTGAATTATTTCTGATCTCGTGAATATTTTTTCATATTTTTATTTTGACATTTGGAATTTCTTATATTTTTGTATTATTTTCTTTCTTTTAATTACCTAAAAAATACTTTCTGACATTTTTTAATTCTGAAAAAATTCATAAATATGATTTTGCATATTTTTTACTTTCTGAAATTTTTATGGAATTTTATGCTGAGGTTTACTATTTTTAACCCATTTTATGTTTGTTTGAGCAATTTTAAATAGTTTAAAAATAGTTTCTGACTTTTAAAAATTACCAAAATTTCTATAAAAAATATTTGGATCCATTACTTATTTTTCTATGGCCTTAATTTTCATTTCTTGATTAATTTGAACATAATTGATATTTTCCTCATTATTTTTTATTTTTAAACATTTTTTTAACCTTTTAATGTATATATTAAATATAATATTATTTTTGTGATTATTTTCTGGCTGTCTTGATATGATTTTTTTATCATGACTTTATTAACATCATTGGATCTTGGGTGTTGAGTTCAACTCCACCAAAATGGATGAATGATTTTAATAATAGTTTGATTAAATTTTTGATTCAAAAGTGGTTTATTCATTTTTTACCCTATCCCTCTTCATCTCATCCCCTTCTTATTGCACTAAATGTTGTTGGAGCATGATCTCTATATCATGTCTCAGAATATATGGTGCATATATTGCTATTGACCGGCCTCAAAATACGTGCGACTTCTATATGAGTCCACTTACGATTGCTTAACATAGCGCTAAATTTTGTCCTGGTTCGAATAAATGATCATTCGTGGCTCAAACTTATGATTGCAAGCCCAAGTATGTTAATTTGATATCTTTGATCCAATAACCTTGAGATTCATTGTGTGGAGGCTTTGGTTCTACCAATCCTCTAATGGATCTACAACACCTTTGGTCAACGCGGATCACTTAAACATCGTTGATCATTAAATGGTACTTGTGAGAATTCCAAATGGATGATATAGTTGACAAAAAGCAAATGCAACTTATTGTATGGAGGCTTTGGTTCTACCAATCCTCTAATAAGTTCCAAATGCAAGTTTCAAGATGATCATCCAACTAACCACTAATTATTAACTTGTTTTATCTTATTTTTTTATTCTTTTTTATGCTTTATGTACTATTTATTTTGAGCATTTATTTTTCTTTCCATTTTTACTTTGCTCACTTGAGATTTTCTTTTCCTTTCTTAAGATACTTAATAATCAACATAAACCCTAAAAAACTCTTAATGGTACTTGGACTATTTGGTTACTATCCTTGGCATTATGGAGCATGGGACTTTTTCTTGGACTTAGGATTAGAAACCTTGGCCTATCTTGGAGACCTTGTGAACTTATCTGATTATTTTGTCTGGAGTTCTTGAGGTTTACCTCAAGACATTGGGTTGCTTGTTTGCTTTTGTGTGCGGGTTTTTGTGATTACATTCTCTGTTTGTAATCTGGAATTCACCCGTATACAGCCGTTACTCTGCCCAATTTTTGTGAAGACTAAATAAACTTGATGTTTGGTTCTCTCAAAAGGTCTAGTATCTTTGTTTGATTGGTTTCAATCCAAAGAATGAGAATTCTACCTTGGCTCATAATGTCAAGTTTTGGCTTATTGTTGGTTAGATTGTCCTTATCCTTAGCTTTTACCTTATGCTTAGGATAACCTCTTCTACTCCTCCCATCTTATTTAATTTCAAAAATATTCTCCCTCCTTTTTAAACTCTTCTTGTTTCTAAACTTGAAACACCTTCATAATAAACTTGGACTTATGTCAATGCATTTTCAAAATATTTTCATAAATAAACTTCAATCAATTTAATAACACCTTGACATTTTTTTGTGTGAAGACTAAAAGTCAATCAATCTCATTTCAAACTATTTTTCCACTTTGGCTTTTTATCTTTAAACTTTTTCTCAAAAGATTAGACTCTTGTCAATCATTATAGTGATGCAAGCAACTATACTTCTACAATACGTAGTGAAGTGAGATATTTTCCAATTGGGTGTTGAGTAAGGCATTGTTGATTTTAAAATCCAAGTCATGTCCTCCACTTTGAGATGATGCAAATTCTCCTTTCTCATGATTGTGAGTAGTAAGTATGTTTTTCCACACGGACAATGACGATGATGTTTTATCTCATAAAAATAACCAACACACTTGTGTTTCAAATTTTTAAAAGAGGAACTATGTGTACCCTGATCCCTTATTGCACGAAAGGTGGTACGTAGGCACTAAAGGTTCGCAACCGCGGCGGGTGCAAAAATCATAAAAAATACTTCTCTTCTCACCTCCACCATCTATTTTTATACAACACATATTATAGCCAAAATATACAGATTTTACAAAGAGGTTCCTGCGGAGTACCGTAGATGTTTAGGGTGCTAATACTTTCCCTTTGCATAACCAACCCCCTTACCTTGAATCTTTCCCCCTCTTTTTGGGTTATTCGCTCTTTTCTCATTCCTTTGGAAACAATAAAGCGCGGTGGCGATTTTTTATTTTGATTTGTATAAAGTACAGTCAATCCAATGGCTTAGTCTTGAACATTTCAACCACTACACCAGTCAGCTTCACAAATTTTCTGCAATCGCATCAATTTGATCCCTACTCGTTTTGAGTACTTCTAATCTCCGATTTTGGGTCCGAAATAGAGTTCTTTCACACAATAACTTTGAGATTTCGTTCTACTTCATTATTCTATAATCCTATACCAATTTCTATATTAATGCTTCCAATTTTTGTCACATCTCTAGATCTACAATTTTTCAGATTTGGGATGTTTATGAACATCACAACAACAGCAGGATCACAACAGCAATTCACAATAATAACATCATCGGGTTCACGAATTTCACATAATAATCATATAAAACAACATAATTAAGACCAAGAAGACATTCATCAATTCATTCATGAAAAACCTAAAGAGGGAAAGGAACCCTCACTACCCTCTCATGTTAATATCACCAATTTAGATAACCCATTCACCCCTAACCTTAATTTGCAGCTTGATGCTTCAACAATGAGGAATTTCCTTTGCCCTAGTTCTCTCTTCTCTTCTTTGTTTCTACGTGACAATAGTTTTTTTCTCCCAATTGGTCTAACCCTATTTTATCGTGTTTTATTATTACTAACCCTCAACTAATAATAATAATAATAATAATAATAATAATAATAATAATAATAATAATAATAATAATAATAATAATATTAATAACAATATTAATAATTCTTAATAATAACTATCATCTTAATAATAATAGTATTATCCCTCAAAACCAAGTTTTACCATAGAATGCCAAAGCAAAAATCAAAATCAACACACAATGACTAAGTATTTAAATGGGCGTTACAACTCTCCCCCACTTAAAATATTTTCGTCCTCGAAAATTACCTTATATGAACAATTCTAGATAGCACTCCCACATCTTGGTTTCTAAATCCCACGTCATACTATCTCCAACTGCTCCTCCCCAAACTACTTTCACTAGAGGGATTTCCTTACCTCTCAGTTGTCATACCCCAAAATTTCCCAACCATTATATTATATTTAGGTTTCTAGTTAAATCATATTATGTAGGTTTTGTTTTCTATTGGGGTGTAAAACATGGAAGAGAAGCTGCATTTTTATAATGGTGTATGTTATTTAGAAAATCATGGGCCTTTCTAAATCAGAAAGGGCCCATGTATATTTTTTTTATCCATTTCAGATATTGAAAAGGGGGTGTACGTTGCAATCAGGGAACTGTTTGAGCAATTAGTTTATTTGTTGAGGCCCAATTAGAACAATATGGCCTGATTAGCCTTTTTGTTTGTTTAGAAAAAATTGTTTTGTTTTAATAATTAGTATTATTATTATTTAATATTTTTATTATGGTAATTACTATTATTGCTGTTTTTTTTGTCTTTATTTATAGCCTAATTAAAAGAAACATTGATTTTAGCTTTTTGAAGAGGCCTTTTTTTTCTTACGCGGATCAGTTCTCATTCCAAACTTTGCAGTCCAAAAAAATTCAAAACACGCAAGGCCCAAAACTAGCAAACATTTACTGTATGGATTAATGGGAAATAATGCTTGTGTTACGATGAAAAAGCTTTTCCAAGAACTTGATCGAGTTGAACACGAAATCCCATACAATCCGTAAACAGAAACATAATCAAATCATTGTTTTTCACATTCACTGTTGCAAGAACTAATGAACTTAATACAAAATCAACATATTCAAAACCCGAATCAAAATTTACAGCAGAATAACGCTAAGATTGGAAACTTTTTTGATTCAAACACAATGGTTTATAGACAAACTTATTATTTCCCTATAAAGCTAAGACAAACACAATCAAAGTATTGATTTAATTTCCTAATCTAAAAATCTATAAAACAGAGATTACAGTAAGGGGAAAGGAACAAAAAAAATCACTCAGGAAGAACAGTAAGAAGAAGAAGGAGTACATGGTGAAGATCGTTGCATAAAGGAGAGAAAAAGGAATTCCAAGGTTTCAATATCTGAAACCACAAAGGCCTTCAAAACGCCTCCGCTAATCCTCGAGCACCGTCGAGTCTTCATCTTCATTCGTCGTGCTCGTACCTGCAAAGACAAAAAGGGAAGGAGATCAGAAGAAATGAAACCTTTAAACCAAGCTTGAAGATTCATGATGAACAAAGGTCGGTTGTTGTACTTAGTTGTCATTTATTTTTATGACTAATACTGTTGTGTGTTTGTTTCAAAATATTTTTAGGGGTTCGAAGGTTGAATTTGGGGAGGGTTACCGGGCTAGGGTTTTTCTTTATAAAAGGTGGTAGAGAAATAACCGAGAGCACACAGTGGGATGAAGGGGGAGAGGAGTCAAAAGGAAACAAAACAATGAAAAGTGTGGAGACTACCTTCTTCTTGCTTGCTAGGGTTTTAGAAGATTGTTTTGTTTTGGACCTTATTTTCTTAAACCAATATCTTTTACCCTTTACGTATATATGTTGAATCATTTTTTTTTCTTGGGCCATTGCTGCTTCTTATTCCAAAGCCCAATACAGAGTCTCATATACACCACACCCTTTTTATTATTCCAGCTGATAAGTAATTTCGTTTGGGCCATAAAAGCCCACTAGTGATTTCTAGTAACACACCCCTCTATTCATTTTGCTAGCACACACAGATACAAACCCCCCATCTTGATGGGCCCAGTCCAAAATCTGGATTTGGGCCATCCCCCTTTCTATAGCACCCCCACAATTTTACTACTATAATATAATTTGCACCCCCAACTAATTTATTTTTATTTATTATTTTCTTTTATAAATTCATTTATATTTTTTTTTGTATTTATATATTTGTATATATTTATATATTTATATTTTTATACCATTATATTATTATTTGTTATTATAAATAATTAATTATTTTGAACTCACTTAAAATATGATATTGTTTATTTGTAATAAATCGTATCTTTTTAAATCATGTATGAACAAAACACATTTTTCACCATATAAATTAATTTAATATTTTACATCAAAATATTAAAACTTGCGCGATTCACGGAATTACTATATCCGTAAGCGACATGTGGCCAATATCTGGCCACGTGATGAGGATGCTATATCAGACTTCTTTGCTCTACGTATAAAAATACTCAAACAAACACCAAATTATTTTTTGTAATAAATTAATTCAACATTAATTTTTGAAAAAGGAATACGAATATATTTGAGTCAATTGCGCACTTGGTCTAACAAACTCTGCTATTCACACTCTTAGACTACATATGTCGGAGATTCAAATATATTTCGCAATCCATAAAAAAAACACCAACCAAACCGCAAACTACGAAACGGGACTCTGATTCCTCCTAAGAGGATACATAGGCATACAATTAAAATCGTGGAGACCCCCCTAACTAAAATTCAAACCCTTTTTCCCCAAAAATAATTAAAACCCTATTTCCTAAAACACTGCGCTTCTAAACCTAGTATCCTTGCGAACAAGGTAGATAAGGGGTGCCTAATACCTTCCCCTCCTAAAGAACCGAGTTCAAACTTAGAATCTCTGAACTCTAGGGTTATTCCTTTATAATCCCTTCCTTTAGGATAAAAATTAAGGGGGGCGACTATGATTTAAAAACTAGTTGTAACAGCTGGCGACTCTGCTGGGGACTCAACCCTAGGTTTAGAAGCTTTATCCTTAGTTTTAGGGATTTTTGGGTTTCTTATTATTGGGTTTCTTATTTTTGTCTAATTATTTATTTTATTCATTTATACTGTCATTTTATCTTATTATTACATATATCTGTGGCGGGATTTTAAGTTTTGCAAAAAGTATTTTCAAAAAAATTTTAGAAAGAATATCCGTCTATTAGCCAAGGGGATACATCATCCCTATGAGTTTATGTGATGACTTCGCCTAGAGTCGGTGGAATTCCGCAAAAGAAATATGTCTCAAGTGACATCCTCTTTGGAAGTGGGACTTTGGAATGACGCATATGGCTCTTTGTATAAACCTCAAACTAAAATCTCATGATGAGACCTTTCACGACCTAGAGACGAAAGTTTCGGTCTGCAAAGAGACTACTCCACTTAAGGGAGGCCCCTGTGCCTTTTCCTCTAGTGTTATTCATGATACCCTTAAGGAAACCACCTTATAGGGAGGGTATAATATCGTAAAACCAAGATAAGAGACTACCTTCTAAGGCTTGTTGTTTATTAAATCCCGTCATTTAACCTTTTACTCTTACATTCATACATCTTTACATTTCCCGGGTTCATCATACATCATTTTATTTTGTTTGTCTTATTCACAGGGTACAAAGAAATATATAATTAAAAAAAGAGTGAAGGTTTTTGTGAGTATCTGGAAATGAATGCTAAAGGAAAACAACTTGTTCGTATCAATGTTGCCAAGCCAGATGTGACTCAAATAAAAGTTATAAGGGAAAGATTATATGAAAGGGCTATGAAAACATTTACTCATCACTATGGGGATATTTTGGATTTAACCAAAGTCGAAGTGCAGTTGGACGATATTTCTGCTCTAGTACAGTTTTATGATCCTCCGCTGAGATGCTTCACATTTCAAGATTTTCAGTTAGTTCCGACCTTAGAGGAATTGGATTGAATTCTGAACTTCTCCAAAGAGAAGGCTTATACTGGTATTGGACAAATCGTCGATATTAAAATAATGGCCGAAGGTTTAAGAATCCCTTATCCTGAGTTTGATTTTAATTATAAGAAAGAAGGATAAGTGCAAGGAATTAAGAGGTGTTACCTGGAAAATAAAACCCTTGATTTTGCAAATAACAAAGAATGGGAATCTCGTGTCGACTATCTTGGGCTGCTTAAATTTGGTGTTGTCTTATTTCTGCGCACTACAGACCATATTGACCCCGCAACCATCAGTGTGTTTTGGGGTACAAATACTTTTTATACATATCCCACTCCAACTCTGCTTGCTGATATCTACTACACCATTCATACACGGTATGAGAAGAAACGAGGTATCCTAAATTGTTGTTTTCCATTGCTATAGTCCTGGTTCATGACCCACCTTTACAAGGAAAGTTACTTGGTTCCGAATTTGAAAAGGTATGAATGGCCTCAAAAGTTAAGATCTCTGACTCCTAGCTATGTGTTGTGGTATGCCAGGAAGTTAGATATCGGTGATATTGTCTATAGTTGTAGGGATTTTCCTAATGTCCCACTAACCGGGTCACAAGGCTGCATCAATCACAGTCCCACCTTGGCCCTACGACAACTAGGGTATCCTCTGGAAGACAAACCTTCGGACGAACAACTCCAGCAATTGATCATTCATGACATGGGTAGAAATGACCGAGAGCTACTCAACAAAATCATTCGGGCTTGGAGTAAGGTTAACAAAAGAAAAGCGGAAAAGAAAAATGCATTGGAAAACGAACCATACACTCAATGGGTTCTAAACAGGGTGAAAATTATCAAACTTCCTTTTGATATAGATCCCGAATATAAGCAAGAGGTCCCAGTCAGTCACTCCTCCTATGTCTTTCTAAGAGGTAGATGATTTGAAAAAAACACTGAAACAGGCTCAGAGAGAGAAGGAAGAGCTAGAGCTCAATCTCCTTAACTTAACCAAAGAGAAAAGACAAATGCAATGCATACTCAAATCAAAAGACCAAAAAATTCAAAAAGAACGCGGAGCATTTGAAAGGGAAAGTTTGAAAAGGAAATGTTCGATCGAAGGGATGTTAAGTGATACTTTTAATCTGGATTCCCATAATCAGAGGCTGGAAGATGCTGCTAATGAAATCAAAAAGTTGAACAGATGGTATGAAAAAGTCGTGCAAGAAAATAAAGTATTAGAGAAAGAGTTGAGGGCTCAAATCCAAAGCCTTGCCCAAGTATCTTTAGACCAAGAAGAACAGTTGAAATACCTCACTACCAGGCTTCAGGATAGCCAAGAGTCAGAAATTAGAGAGCGCCTTGTAAAAATGAGGGTAAAAAGAGATCTGACCCAGCAAACTAATGAGTACGAGCAAGTATGCCTCGAGCTGGAGGGCCTCCGGAAGGATTTCCTAATACAACGAAGACTCTATATGGAGCTGAGAGCTGAAAAATTGTATTGGAAAGAGTTGTATACAAAGATTGCCCAAGCAGGAAGGGATAACCACAAGATAATTCCCAACCTCTACCAGGAGTACTGGTACTACACAGATAAGCATGAGAATCTCGTAGTCTTGGCCAACAACCTCATTGAAGACATTCCCAGAAGCTTAAAGGACACATAAAGTGTAATAGTCCCTCTCCTAGAGGACGTTGACAATTTTCTCAAGCTATGCAGGATAATGGTCGGTCATTTCAGAAAAGACCTTTGCAAAAGGGCTTATAAGATTGTTTTCCTTTTGTTTATTTCCTTTCCAGCAAGTTTAGTGTTTTAGAATTGTAACATTTTTCAGTATCTGAAATGTATTATCTTTTTAAAGAAAATTGACGTTTGTGTTTCCTAGTTTGTTTGTGTATTCATTTTCTAAATACTCACCAAATAAAAAAAGCAAAACCTATAAATATATATATATATACACGATATTACAAAAAGAATATATATATATATATATATATATATATATATATATATATATATATATATATATATATATATATATATATATATATATATATATATATATATATATATATATATATATATATATATATATATATATATATATATATATATATATATATATATATATATATATATATATATATATATATATATATATATATATATATATATATATATATATATATATATATATATATATATATATCCAAGTGAATAAGACACGCAAAGCATAAATCTTAAAATCATGCATACATGATCATGCACTCATAAAAACATTACATCTCATAAATTTACCACTCAAAAACTCATTTTTCAAAAATATTCTCCAGTTGAATCATTGGTAGAAGGAAACGACCACCTCCTTGGCCGCCATATCAAACAAGAGCTCACCAACTAAAAGCCATGGAACAAATGCAGGATAATCAAGTAACTTTCAAAATAGATTTGGAGCAAGTTAAGAGCAATGTCGACTCAATGAGGGGAGATATGAGTCAGGTTCTTATAGCTTTAAAGAACATCATTGATAGACAAGGACAGATTCCCAGAGTAGCTTTCGAAGAAATAACCCAAGCTATCGGTGCATCAAGTGGTCACCAACTGAAAGAAAGACTGGAGACAGGACCACGTAAATTTGTCATGGCTTAACACGAGATGAGACAAGAAACTAAGGGATTTATCCCACCTCCACCAAAGGCAGGGGTATCTCATACCCTGCAAATTCCTGTTAATCATGTTGACAATTACTTGGACTTACAATACGGAGATCACGACTTGGAGGATGTTAATCAGGAACCATAGAAAGTGACCAACACCCTTGCTATAGAAAACCCGTTGGCACTGGACCAATACAAAGCTCTAGAAGAAAGCTTGAAAGTCATGGAAGGATATGATGCTTTTGACGTCGATGCCC